TTGCTTCACTGGCCCAAGTTGGCACCATCATTGCGCTCTTCCCGGGGGAGGCAGATCAGTCGCTGGCTTCTGGGTGGCCGCTCACGCTTGCTGCTGGCCGCTCAGGCTGGCTGCTGTCTACACACGGTACGCCATGGCAACGCACTGCCACAGGGGCTGCAGCCTACGCCATAGCTGGCGACTCATGGCAGCCCAGGTCCAGGTTGAGCTGTTGTTCAGCATCTTAGCTGCAGAGGGCAGTGTTTTTTGTGTTTTCATTTTTGTTTGTCTTGAGGTACTTTTTATTCTTCCTTCATCTTGTTGTTGACCCACTCGCTATTTAGTAATGTGTTTTTCAACCTCCATGTTTTGTGCATTTTCTAGATTTCTTCTTAAATTGATTTCTAGTTTCATAAAACTGTGGTCAGAGAAGACACTTGATATGATTTCAATGTTCTTAAATTTATTGAGACATGTTTTGTGACCTCAATTCTTGTATACTTTTGATTGTAGCATACAGTAAGGTAGTCCTACTGTACATTCTGCTTTATTACACTTCATTTCTTTACCACAGAACATGCATGCACCAATTTTGTGTTTATGAAAGAAATTGATGAAATGATAGGCATAAGTCAGCCTTATATAACAACTACTTCAGGTAAAGTTTTCTTCTGAAACTTCACCAGAATTAGGCAGGCATATAGCCTTTTGTTCATGGTTCCTATAAGGATAGACTACACCTTAAACGAAAGGTTCTTGATTTGGGAAAACATCTCATTGCATATTTGCATACTTGATTGTCATTTTTTGTGAGATGATGCTGATAGAAATATACTACATTTGTTACTATGAAAGATATATTGGAGGCAACTCAAACTATGTAATTGCAATAACTTGGCACCTTTGAACAGAAGACAGGGATGCATTTGTGTCACCCAAGAGCTTTACTGCCATTACTTACTTCCCAGGAGCATATAAAAGGAATGGATTTGTCTTGGTTACTTATTCTGATTCCTTTGCAAACTCATCTTCCCATCAGATGCTTCTCTGTGTCCAGGAATGACAAATCGCTTCTGGTTGCTCTTTTGAGTCGGGACCTACATTCAGCTTCCTATACATGACTGCCCATCCCACCAGTAGTCTAACGTTCCTCGAACTATTCAATTAAAATGGGAGCATTAATAGTTATTTTATTATTAACAATTGGATAATTAACCTTCCAAAGGAATCTTTGTTTAATTGAAGTTATCTTTCTTAAATCATAGAAGAAAATGACATATTTAAAATTGAAAACATGAGAGGCAAGGATGGAGAAATAAATGTGTATCTAAAAAACTTCCCTGGTGCCTCTAAATATGGTTAGGCAACTGTCTATTTATAAACTCTTTGCTTCATAGAATAGTTGTATGGCTCTGAGTTGGGCCATTTTGAGTAAATTCATTGCTTGATAATGGTACGAAGGAAAACCAAGTTCACGAAGTCTCCTTGTTCCTGGAAAAATATCCAAAATGCTCATGGGTTGAAAAAGACATCTTTGACTTAAAAAAACCAAATCAGTAATTATTTATAACAGAAATAATTTTCACTGAATGTTCTATTAAAGTTGTTCCTTTATTGTACAAAAAGATACTGATATTTATTGTATGTAATGTATGACTGGAGATAAAGACATAAAAAAATTCTAAAGTTTCTTGCAATCTATTAGTGTCTAGATTTGCTTTGGATAACCTTTTTGATATGTAACCAAGACACAGAACATTACCAGAATCATCAAAGACTTCTGCTTTCTCCTACTAAGTCACTACTTTCTGATCCCCCTGAAAATAATTACATCCGTGGATTTTATCACAGTAGATTGCTTTTATATTTTTTTGGACAGTGTATAACTAGATTCCTAAAGCATGCACTGTTTCAACCAGTAACTTGTGAAATAATCTATGTTGTTGCATGCAGTCGCAGTGCATTGATTCTTATTGTTGTATAGCATTCTTTTGTAAGAATATATGATTATTTGTCTACTTTGATGTTGATAAGCAGTTGAGTTGTTTCCCCTTTTCTATTAGCAATAAGGTTAATGTGTACATTCTTGTACATTTCTTTTCATAGAGATATATACTAATTTATCTTACATATAAGACCTGGAGTTGAAATTGTTTGTGGATGTGTGGATGTGTATTAAACTTAGATTTAGTCAATGTCGTCATACAGTTTTCTATGAAGAATGCTGATTCGCACTTCCAGAACACACTATCATTGTGTGAG